TACGTGTGTGTGTGTGTGTGTGTGTGTGTGTGTGCGTGTGCGTGTGCGTGTGCGTGTGCGTGTGCGTGTGCGTGTGCGTGTGCGTGTGCGCGCGTGTGTGTGCGCGTGCGTGCGTATATGTGTGTGTGCGTGTGCGCGCGTGTGCGTGCGTAAGTGTGTATTTGGGTGGGTGCGCGCGTGCGCGTGTGTGCGTGCGTGCGTAAGTGTGTGTTTGGGTGGGTGCGCCCATGCGTGTGTGTGCGTGCGTGCGTAAGTGTGTGTTTGGGTAGGTGCGCGCATTCATACGTGTGTGCGTGCGATCACTTTTATACAGTAGTATATAATCATCTGTTTTGTTCAACCTTGTGTCCTCCGTGTTGAATAATCATTTTTTTCAAATTGACCGAATTCACACATTAGCTGTGAACGTATTGTATTTCTCTATGCCCATCCATGAATAATTCAGCGCTTTCTTTCTGGAGAATAGTTCGTGTACTATACATGAATTCACGCCGATTTTTTTTATCAAATTAAAAGGCTACTTCAATTATCGCTATCGTATTTTCGCGTTTTTTCCCGCACAATCGGTTTTGTCAAACCCCGTAGGAAATTTCCGCAATTTCCCATCGTAGCGTAATAGACTAGATATGTCGGCGTGGTATTGATTTTAGGAGTTTTCGTATTTTACACACGATTTCATCAGCTGCTAAACGATTTCGTGTATGGTTGGCCATCGTACTCAGAAATAATCTTTTTTCACCGCGGTTAAATTATGTGGCCACTGATTGGGTAAAAGGCCAACAATTTTACCGCGCTTGACTTAGTTCTACCGTGGTAAAAATCATTCATCCGCGGTTAAATTATATGAGTGTGTAACACGGCCTCTGATTGGGTAAAACGCCAATAATTTTATTATTAAGTAAGGTGATAATAATATAATGATAAAATTATTATTATTTCTGAGCACGACGGCCAACCATATTCGTGAACATAAAGCTTTATTCGTCTCGGTCGTACCCGAAGTCAATGAGTTGTTGCCGCGTACATACCCGGTGAAGTGTGTTATATGTAAACAACGCCGGAATGTCGTGTGTTTGTCCTGCCTGCCTCTTCACGCACGCAGCCCTCAGTTCTGTCGCCTGGTTACCGCCTTCTGTTATCCTACACTTGAACTTTGTCCTCTCTCCCGTTGTTGACCAGTTCCACCTTGCCACACTTTCCCTTCTCTTACGTCTGTCCGTATTGCTCCCCTCCCTCTATATGTGCGTAGTTCGTGTATGTATATGACATAAACATGTGGGTTATGTATGTAGTTCGTGT